AGCTGCTGCTCACAATAGTGTCTCCTAAGGTTATAAAACTTGTGTTGATGGTCTAAAATAAACAAGGGTTTACCAAAAAAAGGAACCACAGTCAAAAATACCTGTGCCCTAAATCTAAAAAAACAGAGCCATGGTTATGAAACCTGTACCCTGATAACCTTCAACTTTTCCCCCTGCCCCGTTAAATTTGAACTTTAATTTGTGCCCTGTTAACTTACGTCACTGTTACTATTATCCTAGGTTAAAGCTGTCGCTATATAGTATATCACACCATGACACTTTTATTTATCATATTACAATATTTCACTTAACATTATTCATACCACACCATGTAACTGTCCCCCAAAACCTTCAAAAACTCAGTTTTTGTTGGGAATGTGGCAGGAGCTAAAGAAGTGCCAGTTTTTGGAAGAAATGTTAAATGTGAACACTACCCGTACCAACCAGTTTTCCCCTCAGCTCCTCCTCTCTGCTCCAGCAAGCCCCACCCACAAGCAGGCGCTCACCCTCGCTCGTCTCATTCCAATTAAATTCAGATGTAATACAGATAGATACTTTAGATTACAAATGGAGCCCAGTCAACGTGAAAGTAAAAAGCATTGGTGCTACTGTCGATGCCAACAGACTACCAGCAAACACAATGTTTGCAGGACTTCTACAACTAGGATAAAGTGACATACTCCGGGACTCGAGGTAACCAGTTTAGTGTTGCTACAACACGCAGCGGGACATACTCATCAGTGTGTTTGTTGACCCGACATTTTTGCTCTACCTCCGTTTTAAGCATCCTTTATTCCACCAGAGTCTCTAGTATTTCCTTCGTTTTCTTGCTTGTGTTGGCAGTCACGACCAAATGAGGATTCAGACAATTTTACCGTACTTTCTGGTTGCTTTCTACTGTCCGATATTGTATCACGCTAACTTTGTTTGGGCTCGTGAACATTATTTGAGGACATGAAGTGTGCCTCACAATAAGAGGGAGGAGTATCTGCCTCACAACCAATCAGGTTGGGGGAGGTGGAGAATGGCTTTGTTTACAATCAGAAAAAGCGGGCGGCTCAAAAAGTTTAAATTGTTGATTACACAGACATAAGAGAACACAGTTATTGATGACATTTGGGAATGTAATGATATTGCTAATAGCTATTGACTGATATTCAAAGCTTTTTTGGATATACACCACAAAAAAAAAAAAAAAAAAGCTTCTTTAACGGAATCCTGCGTACCCACCTTTAAGCTTAGTAACATTACAACATTATTTTTTTCAGTCCCACTTTTTAATTATATTTCATTTTATTTTACTTGATTAGGTTCCTGTTGTCTTTTTGCTGACTATTGTATTCCCACATGCTAACCATGTCTGTTTCAGGGATCAGTAAAATATGGTCTGAAGTTCATGAAAAAAGTTACCACAGTTAACAGAGCTGTGTACTGTAATTCATTCTTAAAAACCAGCTTTACAGATTCAATTGGGATTTTTTTTTCAGAGGTTACTCATGCCTTTGAAAGATGAAATTAAGATGGGAACAACTAGTGTAACATGCAAATACTTTAAATTACCTGTGTGTGTTTAAATAACAACTTAAAGCTGGAGAACTTGGATTGATTTCAAATAAAACTTAAAAAAACAGAAGAAAACATGACTTTGGTGTGAATCACAGCCACAGTGTCACAGCTGTTATTCCTATCAAACACACCACTCGCAGCTGTCTATCGTGGACACACTCGGCTCTGCGTCATGGACCCACTTGGCTGTGTAGTCAAGCTTGAGATATTCATGTATTTTTTTATCCTCTGTATTTTTTTATCCCGTTGTTTGAGCTCTTCCTCGTCGTCTCTTTCTGCCTCTCTGTCAGTCTTTTCTCTAACACACACAGACTCAGAGTCAACACCACTTGAGCTCACATAATGAACAAGTATAACACAGCAGAGTGTGAGTCAGCCCTTGTCCCTGTCAATCATACAAAACATCCTGGAAATGACTCGACCAATTTAAAGAAGACTGTGGTGAAAGATACTGATAAAAAGTGAAACCAAGAGTTTCAGGAATACTGAACCATTCTGACATTTCCTCACCTTGATATTAGTTTTATTCTCTTCAGTGTTGACAGGGATCAACAGTTCTTCTCTTTTATGAGACAGTCATATGATTTTATTGTTACCTTGCTTTCAATCAAATGCATCATCTATTGATAATCATTGCAGCAGAAATGAAAAAAAAAAAAAAAGGTTTTGCCATGTGCACCTAACTGCTTCTTCCTACTCCCCCCTTTTCCCATCCTTCCACAATGAAAATAAGCAAGAGACGCAATGTAGTAAGCAGGTAGTATTCCCCTTTTTCTTAAAGGGATTTTAATATGCATAACCTTAACTCCTATACAAAGTAATTGTGTCAATTTGGTCCTGATTCTCTTCCATCCCACAAAATTTAGTAAAAGCCAGATTATCTGATGGTTGCAAAGATTATCTTCTCAGATTATCCCGCTGTGTGAGGTGTGTTCGCAGTGATTTCTTTGCCTTATGGTCTATCTATGGTCAGGGTTGCCCCTGACTTGAAATCATAAATATCAAACATGTTCCATATTACAATCAGAAATCTTTACATGTGAAGGAGATCCCCGAGGTCAGTTGTACAAGAACTCTGAAAAAAAGGCCAATTAGACAGTAAGCTGATTGAAGAAGGAAGCACAATAATTGCAGCCATGGTGATGATAGTAAACGCAAAGCATAAACCAGGTCAGAAACAGGGGGCCATTGCTACTGCAGTTGATGTACCAGGAAGCTAAGTAGTTAGCGACAGCGCTGTAGTCCTCCATGTTTGTTAACTTAAAGTCATGTTTGACCGTGAGAGACACGATTTATGGATTTATGGATTTATGGTTTTGACAGTCAGGACTTTAGCTGCTTGTGAAAAGAGTCTTCACGTGATTTGCTGTGTTCACCACATCGTTGTACATTATACACTACTGGAACAAAACGGTTACATCTGTCATCATTGGTCACCATCTGCAGAGTCTTGGTCACTTCTATAATCAGTTCAGATTTTTGACCTGGGCCATAATCTAATGCAAAGAAAGCAGCCTGTTGCAAAACAGCCAGAGTAGTTGATTGGGACTTAAAACACCTGTGAGGAACTTTCTGTTTGTGTTGATTTTGGTGCCCCCCGGTGGACACAGTGCTAACCCTCATATTGTTGCAGATGATGTCTTATGAAGTCTTGTTAATTTACACAAACTCTCCTTCTGTTGTCTTTTTAAGGTGAAATGTATTACAGTGAATATTTGCTGTGGAAAAAGTGGTTAGGGCTATTTCCTTTGTTGACCTGCCCCCTCACAGCACTAGCAGTTAATTTTAAACTGTAATATATATTTTTTACCTTTCTTGTCCTTTACTTGTTAGAGCCGTGTCTTCTTAAAAAATTCTAATCCTGCTGACCTTGACAATCAAATGTGTCATTTACGTTGGAAATGTTGAAAACAGGACTTTTTTCCTAAGCTGCTGGCCTGACTCTCACACCCTTGCATTTGTTTCAGACATTAAAAATAAGTGAAAATGAGTAAGAAAGCAGAGTAGTGATGGAGAATAAAATAGGTCCCAAGATGGATCCTTGGGGGATGCCTCATGGCAGAAGAGCAGAGTGTATTCAGTAAGTGAGGTTGGTTAAGGACCACTCCATTCCATTTGTACTTACGCCCACTACGTACTCCAGTCTGTTGGTTAGAAATATATTGAAAGTTAGATCCTTCTGTAGGTTGAAATTTAAAGAGTGCAGCCTACATTTACCTCAACACTTGTGCTTCCACTGTGAATTTAGATAGCTTACTGTTTGATGAGGAATATTTTGACTGTATTTCTCAGTTTTAGCAGAAGCATGCTGTTTCTTAAGCTGTTTATCGCTGTGTATCACTGGATCCCAAAAGGTCAACCCCTGAATGTGTCAATCAAACCATGTGGGCAGCACAGTGACATCTACTTTTCTGATTTGGATGAAGTTTGTGTTTCTGTAGGTGGCACTCGTTTTTCTTGGCCAAACATGGCCGCTGCTGCTGCCTGAGTGAACTCGCCTGTTCATTCCTTTTCTACCTCATCAGAAAAAACAGCACAGGTCTCAGGATTAATTTCTGTGAGTGTTTGGTAAAAACAAGCAGACATGAAGGAACAGAAAGAACATTTTGATATCATTACATTAATTTCCTGTAATGATCAAAAATAGCTGCTGTTCCTCCACACAGCCCTTAATGGTCAAATGATGCTGCTAATGATGATGATGCTTTCAAATTGCACAGTACAGTAGGTATGAGTACCCATTGTTGCTCTTGCTCTCTCTCTCCCTCTCTCTCTCTCTGCCGCCTCCACGGTGATGCATGTTGCATTAACGCTGAGGTGAAGAGTGGGAGGTAGAGGGCAAGCTGAGAGGGCTACAAGAGGGATGGAAAGAGAGCCGCAGAAGAAAAGAGTGTGTGGGAGACTGTAAATGTAGAAATGTAGGATAGATAGATAGATAGATAGATAGATAGATAGATAGATAGATAGATAGATAGATAGATAGATAGATAGATAGATAGATAGATAGATAGAATTGTCCTTTAGTCATCCCTCGTTTCCTTCGTTACCTTGTTTCTAAAATGTCTGATGGCGATGATTTCCCAAGAGTAACCCACTCAGGTCAAACTAAATCTAGAAGGAATTGAGGAAAGGACGAAAGAGAAAGACGGAGAGATAACAATTGTGAGGAAAGAGATGGAGAAAGAGAGGAAAAAGACAAGCAGCTGGAGAGGAGAAGTTGGTCTCTGTGCAGCTCCAAAGCTTTAAAGCCCTGAAGCTGTGCGGAGTCTAAATGGGAGGGAGAGAGCAAGGGGTAGAGGAAGGCTGAAGCCTGGAAGGAGAGAGAGAGAGAGAGAGAGAGAGAGAGAGAGAGAGAGAGGAGGAGGAGGGTTTGCGTTGGTGTGTTGGTTGGCAGAGAGAGCGCTTGTCAAAAAAACCTTCCTCTGACAGAAGGCATGATTCACAGCGGAGAGAGAGAAAAAGGGGGAGAGAAAGAGGGAGAGGGACAGAGGAAAAACGGCAGAGATAAAGAGGAAGAGAGAGAGATGCCGGTAAGAAAAAACATATGATGCTTGATTTGAAAGCCGAATGACAAGACGTGAGCAGGATAGGACTGAGATGGACGGAGAGGATTGACTGATGCGTCTGAATGACTGTGACTGTGTTGATAAGGTTCTTGCTTTTCAATTGATTGGAAGAAAATAGAGCAGGTGGCAGCAGCGGTGATGAAAGAGAGAGAGAGAGGGAGGGAGAGGATGCTTAAGAATGAATGCTGCTGAAAAGATGAAGAGATAGAGAGGCTGGGGATGGTTTTCAACTATCAATAGCCTCCTTTGACAGAGCTCAACTCATTTATGGGGTAGGCATCGCTAATAGATGCAAATTAGACAATTTTGTGTCCTAATGTTAAATCTGAGATGTATATCTGATTCTTCAGGACATCTTTCTCAGCATGTTCTTAAATGTGTGTGCATGCTTATCTGTTCTATTATTGTGATTAACTGAGTCTAAATAGAGTTTTTGAATCAGTGATTAGCACCTTATTTAACTTTTTCTGCCCTCTGAGCTGGTTCAAATGTCACCCTTATGTTCCCACATTTCTCGATGTCCTTTCTGCGCTCATAATACGTCCTAAACGCCTCTTTCATTTGTTGATCGTGACTTTCTCTAAGCTGACGTTTAGAGCTATTCATCCAGTTGTTGTTTCCTCCCACAAAGTTGGCTTTGCCAGGCTCGCTGGTTTGGCAAACACAAAGCAGAGACACCAACAACAGATCTAATTTGATGCAGGGTTGAAATTCAGTTTGGGATTTCTCATGTTGACCAAAAGGACCAGCTTCGAAGGAATATTGACGTCATCTTGATTTTATTTTTGGCAGCAAATTTGCATGGGGCTTTAAGGCTGCTTGGTGCAGGCTGTCGCATTAACATCTCTCCAACTTTTAAATCCCACTCAGAGTTGTTTGAGAATTTAATTTTTTGTTGTCTTTGCAAACCCCCTTAAGGTTGTCAGAGCAGTTTGGATGTTCGCAGATAAAACTTCCACATAATTGACCAACAGAGATTTGAGACTGTGATGAAAATTTCACCAAAAGTAACGGATGTACTTTCTTAATGAAGTGTCTTGGCTGTTTTTTCAGATTTAGGATGCCTTTAGACTGTTTTCGACCAGAAACTGCGGATAGCCCCATTTATCTCTGTGTTTCAACAGTCCTCTGGAGAAAAGCATTAAACAGATGATTTTTACGAGGGATGTGCATATGATTCAACAAAATTATTAAACATTTTCTCCAATCAGCATCAGTATTGCAAGGCCCAAAATGCTTGTCATATGTTGTTTCTTAGCCATAGCACCCACCTATCTCTTACTGGGCCCATTACTCTAGTCAGTGGCAACTACCATACTGCTATGAGGCTCTACTATTGAGATGTAAACAAGCACAGATGATGGATGAAATCTCTTTGCATGGCGTGATTTGTCAGTATTTGTACAAATAAATACAGATAAAGGTGTTTGAAGGCTGTTCCTAGTTAAAGTTCCTCTAACTTCTTGACCAGAGCAAAATGTAACCAGCACAGGCATGTAATGGTTAACCTGCAAGTAGGGCTAAAGGCTGCAGGTGTTAGCTCTGATGTTAGCCTCATACTGACCCGCAAACCCATTCAACATCTCTCCTGTTGTTTAGGACCAACCCCTGACACTCTATGATCTGTGTATCCACATGTCTTGCCTAATTTTGAGTGTTTTCTAACCTTCGTAATCATTGTCATTATTTTTAGTCAACCTGATTGTACGACTGAATTTCAGGTGTTTTGTTCATTTCGATACTTGTGAGTGGTTCTGTCGTTCCCCATGTGTTTGTGTCTGCAGCTCTGTGTTTGTATTTGCTGCTGTCTTTGTTAGGTCTCCCTTGAAAAGAGATTTTTAACCTCAGTGAGACTAACCTGGTTATATAAAGGTTAGATAAAAAAAATAAATCAAATGTTCTTGAATATAACAAGACAGCTGGCCCACAAGATTTTCTTGATGATCTTTAATGTGAAGTTAAGGCAGTAAAATCTTTCTTCAAGCTCATGTGAGTAACTAGTAATTTGTGGTTATTTTAGCGCCCCTTGTGGACAAAATGCTCTGTCTTATCTTTTTTCAGATCCTGTCTCGAACATATAAAAATAAGTTTTCCTGATGAGCTCTTCTGACTGCTCTTTAAAGTCAAATTTATCACTCTCTTTGCCTTGAGAAATTTAAATCATCAGCGATCTCCTTGTCTGACCAGCGAATATAAAATAACTTAAAAGAAATAATCCACCATCCTCCTGATGGTTTTGACTTTGTAGGGGATAAAGAGGCACTAGTGGTAATTCCAGTGTTTCATAACAAGGTAAAAACTCTTCAAAGGAGCTTTAAATATCAGGGGTTTATCTTTTGTTGTCAAGGGGGTTTGGAGTGTTTTCCATTTAGAGCCTGTTACTGTGAAATATGTTCAGGTATAAAACTATCAAGGGCATCAGTAAGTAGCTTTTTGTTGGGCACATCTTCAGGCAAAAACAAAGTGCTTTAAAGGAACACTGAAGGTTTCTACCTTTTGTGCTTTGGCACATTTTCCCTCTTGAGCCTGTTTTGATTTGTTGGCATATTTTTGCACAAATTACTTTTGCACTTCACCACCAAGGTTGTGAGTTTTTAGCTCGGTTTCATGGTGTTCTTGGGAGAAAAACATACACAGAAATCCTTCAGAAGATATTTACCCTTTGTTGTCTCACTCTGAACAGTTTTCATCCTTTAGGTCAGAGATTTTGTTGGTTTTTGTCTCAGTATTAAACTTAAATGAGTTTGATCAAAGCAGTTCTCTAACAAGGGCTTCAGGATGAACTTTAATGTTTAACTTGTCCGGTAGAAAATAACCTGGGTCTACAGTAACAGTGTACATCTAAGGTTTTTATGCTCTGTTGTCATGTTGTTTGAATCTCCACAATTTACAAACAAAAAGGCTGCTCTGAGAAGAGATACAAAAAAATATTTTGAACCCTAAAAAAAGACTGAAAAGGAGTAAATAAAGCCATTAGCTGCTTTTACATGGGCACAAATAACCAGAATAAATGCCCAATCAGAACAAAAAAGCATCATGTTAACATGTCGGCTCAATCGGAAAGAAATTGTATTCCGATTGACAGGGGTGGTTTGTGCCGATCGTTATTCCACAATGCATCCATGTAAACACTTATTCTGACAGTGACTCTCTAATCTAACTCAGTTTTCACTCTCTAGCCTTTGGCGGCCAGTACAGGAAGTTTCATTGTTAACACTCTGGCATAAAACACAACCGCAAGTGCCGTGTCTCCTCCTCTGGTCACATAACAAGGTGTACATACAGCGTAATGATGTCACATTTGCATGCACAACCTTTGACAAGACAGTAAAATAAGTAAGCAAGGGCGCCATCTGTTGACAGCATTTAACTGGGGGAAAACTCCTGGATTGGATGAAGTGAGCCACTACCACGTTTGTTTGTTTGTTGACAGCACAGGCGCAAATACAACTCTTCTACTTCTGCGGTTGTTCTTGCAAAATCAGAAAACTCTGCGCATGTCCAAATGCTTCAAATCTAAAAAAAGCCCGGTGCATGTATACGCACTTCATGATCGGATTATTTGATTTTGTGCCCGTATAAACAGTGGATTGAGATTTTCTGATCCCACATTTTTTTTACAGGATCAAGAAATTTTGAACATGAAAACATCGCTAATGACATCACCTGATAGTTTGTGAGCTGCTGTTTAGACCTTAAAGTTTGGTTTGTCAGCAGTTGTTGAGTAACTTATGATGGGCCTCCACCAAACGATTTTCACAGTCACAGACTAAAAACTGAAAGTCTTAAGTAAATCTTGGAGTTTTACTGTAGTCACAGCGAGCTCACGTCATCTCGATCATTAAGTCTAAGGTGGCAGTCTTTGCTGTTTTATATCAGTCTTTTCTTAGTCTAGGGTTTGCAATAATATCAAACGTGCTTGATATTAATGCAAGTTGCAGCAGAAAAACAAGAACGTATGTAGAATTACTGGTGATAAAAAAAAGGATCAGGCAGATCAGCCTTACCTATTCAACATCAACTGAAGGGTTTCCCCTACATTTAATGACGCACTGCCACAGCTACATAAAAGCCACCACTACTCAACAATAACGTTTTTTTACGCGCTATCTCGGGCCCAGTATGTATCAGTAAATGTGGCACACATGGCTGCACCCTGGGGCATGTGTGCCGTGTGTATTAGCATTAGCTAGTTCCGAGTTGTCATACACAAACACACAGCTGATTAATGAGCCGCCCCCCAAAATCACACACCACCACAGACAGAATCAGCACCAGTAGCATACAACACTGAACTAGTTGTGGTCTTGTAAATAGTGACCCTGCAAGAGTCACAGCCTTTGTAAATTCTTAATGTGTGCTTATTTACTCTGTAGAATACATGTAAAACCAGGTCAAAACTACTAAAGGAAACACATTTTTTGACAAAAATGCATCTTTTCAAGTATTTCATGTCTTGTTTTACTTCTTGTTCCTGTGTTATTTTGTTTAACATTGTCCTGGTTTTCATGTTTATGTGTGTAATATGTTCCCAAAGCAGGGTGCACATAATGAGATAACTGTTCATATTTGGGCCCTAATTCATGCCTTTTAACTAAAGTCATCTAAAGTCAATTATCGGATGGTTTTTTAGATTATCTTCCCAGATTATCCTGTTGGTTTTTCATCCCTCTGACCTGCAGAGAAGATGATCTGAGCTGTCCCAACTTTAAATCATAAATAATAAATATGTTCAGTATTTAACAATCAGAATTCCTTGTGTGTGAGGGAAAACCCAACCTGAGCACAAAGACATGAAGAATAACTTAGACTGACGTCAGAATTATTGGGCCCACTTGATTCATGGCGATAAATCTCCTATTGTGATCTAGTGTATAAAATTTTTTCTTGATCTGTTTTATCAGCACCCTTGTGTCTCTCGGTGTTTTCTGTTTATTTTATGGCTTTGGTACAGTTCAACATCCTGTGTTTTCCCTTTTTTGATTCTGTGCCCCACCATGATTAGTTTCACCTGTGTCGTGTTTGCCCTACTTGTGTCTGATTACCTGGCTTGTTTTTAGTCTCTGTGTGTCTTCCCTCCTGAGTTAGTTGTTATGTCTCACATCTTGTACTCCCCGGTGTCTCTCCTGTGGCGTCTGCCTTTTCTGCTTTTTGAATTTGGACTTTTGTCAATTTTTAGTTTGGACATTTCTGTTTACCAAAGAGAGTTTTTGTTTATCCGTAATTTGGGTCTTGCATTTTTTCTTTTTTGAAATGTGACAGTAGTTGAGCGTACAGTTTTTTCCTCATCAGACTAACCTTTTGAAACCTGTTGGATTGCCCCCTGCAGGCCATGAGAAATCATGCACCATCAAGGCACTTTTGCTCTGGTTTCATGTTTAAATCAACAACTTTTTTAGAGTCCATTTCCCTTTAATCTTAGCTGAAGGGTTCCCGGCATTATCAATAACCTGCCGATGGATAAAGATCTACGGGTTGGTGCTATGATGGATGCATTAGTGATTCTGATAGTCAAATCAATATTCAAAGGAAATGGTTGGATACTTTTCAGACAGGCGTGTGCCACTTTTGGTGCTGAGTTGTTGGTGAAGTGCTCTGCAGGCACAGCTGGAGTGAATTTAATCAGGCTCTACAGCAGTTTAGCATTGCATTTTGATTAGGAGAGGAAAAAAAGGATCAAACTCTTTCAGCAAAGGCCAAGAAATCCTCACTTTCACCCCTTCATGTTGGTCAAGTAGCCAACAACACTTGATCCAGCTGTCGTCCAAATGAAAATGAGTTGTTCACTTATTTTTACCCCTTTTGTTTCTGATACTTCCTTTTTTAAATCCTCATCAGATTTGAGAAAATGTAGAGCAACAGGAGACATTATACAACTGTTTTGTGGCTTGATTAGCATTTAGCCAGTAAACTTAGTGCAACGTAATTACTACTGGACCCATTTGATTGGACTTGCAAGAATATTTCTAATGTAACTTTAGTGAATATGCTAATACCCACTCAGTTATATGATTATGAAGAGACATTTTGGAGCTGCATCCCATTCAGACTTTTTGTTGTTTGCTTTGTTTTCCACAGACTGACGACTGTAATCAACCAATTACAACTGCCAGAATGAAAGGAGAAGCTTTCACTGGATTCAATCCTCCATCAACTGTTCTCGCTCTTTCTGTCGTTCTGAGTCTGACTGACTAACGCTCCACTGGATAAAGACTTAATTGGCTCTGAAAAGACAGCCAGGACAATAAACAAGCAGAATAGATACAAATGCAGTTGCACTGAGAGGAGAGTGGGAGAAGATGAGCTAAGACCAGAAACCCTGCGGACGTAAAACTGGACTTATCCTCTTATTTTATTTTATTTATTTTACTGTATTTTTTGGAATATTTTTGGCAAAAGGGACTCTGTTTCCTTTTTTTTTTTTTTTTGGACTTCATGTTATTTGCATCATTTTATGTTCATGAGCTTTTGGCTGGTGGATGTTGATTACAAGATTGTCCTGGCTTCCTTCAAATAGAGGAATCAAACTGCAGCATTTTCACAGAAAATACATAGCAAGAATTTCAGGTCTGACCTCAGTGCACGTGTTTCATCTGACATGGCCTTCTCAGAGTCTGCTTTCATGCACTTTGCACAGTCTAAAATTCATGTTGCAGGTCAAATTTTTCTGAATTAGTGCAAACAACGACTTCACGATTCACTCTTCAAACTGCAACCGTGCCTCCCACCAACCCCTCCCACCATCAGCCATCCGACCAGTCATGGGCAAGCCCCTTAGCCGTCCCGGGTGTTTCAGGAAGAGCTCCTGCTGCCTGGAAAAGCATGGAGCTGGGGATGGGGGAATGGGGGTGCGAGCTGGTGGGATGGATGTGGGATATGGAGATGGCTACATTCCCCAAAGGAGCATCTATGATACTATGTGCATCAATCAGCAAATTGACAGCCACCACCACCCTGGAGGGTCCATTAGACGAGACTGTGAAGGGAGTTTTAGCTACTCTGCGAGTGGCTCCCTGAGGGTTGGCAGGTCTCCAGTTGACATGTTCGACCCCCAGCCTCGCTCTTTGACTCCTAACCCCTCATTTGTGCGCCGGCTGGATGAAAGAGCCATCTATGATTCGTTGAAACTCGGGGGTCAGGATGCTGATGGTGGTGGTTGCCATTCTCCAGGACATTACAACCGCTCAGTATCTCCATCTGTATCCTCTTTCTCAGCGCCAGGAGTGTCCTCCTCCTCATCCAAGAAACACCATCACCACCACCATCACCATGGAGACAGCACCAAGAACAGAGATGTACGACAATCGTGGAAAGTCATAACACCCCCGAAACACCTGGAGTGTCTGGAGCTCACGACAACTGAGATGATGGACAGAGGAGGCGGGTATCTAAATCCAGGGCACTACCCTCCCCCTGGGGGCCAGTCCTCCTCTCTTACCTCCCCACTCATCTCTCCCTTCTCTGGCTCACCTCTCTCTTCAGGCTACCACACTCCAGTATTTTTCTCCCCTGCCAAACCTCGCCCCAGCCAGACTCAGAGTTTGCGCTGCTCCCCACCCCAGGTCATTCAACCGAGGCATTACTCCCAGACCCAGAGCCTCAGGCTGTCACCACCCCACGAGCTCCGAAGATCCCCTTACCGAGCCCCACTGGTCCAACTGTCAGCCCATGACCTGGAGCAGGACCTGAGGGAGCGGGGAGGAGGATGGGGGCGAGCGATGAGTGAGCGGGAGAGAGAGTGGGAGAGGGAGAGAGAGAGGGAGATGGAGCGAGGGTGGGCTCAGCGAGAATGGGAAAGAGAGAGGGAGAGGGGGAGGCTGGAGAGAGAGAGGGCAAGAGAGAGGGAGAGGAGAGAAACGTCGACTTTTGGGACGTTTGGATACGGTCGACAGGTTCCTCTCCGCTCAGACAGAGATTCTGTGTTTTTAGAGCCTGATCAGGCCTTAGACACCACACCCCTTTTGCTCCCCACACCATCACCTTCACCATCCCCAAATGCTGCCCCACGAATGGGCACTGGGGCTGTGGGTAGGAACCGGGCCGGGTCAAAGGTCGGGCATGACAGCATTAGTGGGGGTATGGTTCCTAAGTATGACAACGGGGGTGTGGGTTTGGTTCTAGTGGACAGCAAATCTGGACCCAGGTTAGTGAGTGAAGTTGGACCTGGAAATATGTCCGAGGTCGACATGAGGGCTGGGGTACAAGACCACCACAGAGCTGAAAGCTGGGGCAAATATGACAACGGATCTAGGGCTAACAATAAACATGGTTCTGAAACCAGAATGGGCTCCCAGGTAAAAACCAGACCAGGGGGGCGTGAGCTAGAAGGAAAGGTGCAGTCTGGGATGGAGATAGAAAAGATGGCACCAGCTGTGCACAAGGAGTCTCAAAGTGGAGGGACGAGGAATGGAGAGAGAAATGGAAGAATTGTGTCTAAACCAGAACCTACCGCTGATCTCACAACTCCAACTGTGAAAGACACCGAGAGCAATACTGTGCCAGGAGATAGAGCTGACGTAGGAGCTGGACCTGGTCCAGCGATGAAGCCCATAGTCGAGGAAAAGGTTAGTCCACAGCAAGTTGAGAACAGGACTGCAGGTGAACCTGGAGGAGTAGCTTATAGAGTAAATCATGAAATTGTTGCTGCACCAGAGCCCAAAGTTGAAGCAAAAGTTGAGACAGAAAGTAAGAATGTTCCTCAATCTAAGCCTGAGGCACTAAAAGATATTAGTGTCAGTGCTGAGACAGGGACTAAGGGTACAGCTGAGGTCGGGGTTCTCAGTGAAAGCCAGAGCAGCATCCACAAAATAGATAAAGCACAGATAAGAGATGTAGGCGGGGATAAAACTGAAGTTGCCCCTGCTGGTCAGACTGAGAACAAGCCTTTGGAGCTTGATAGTACTGATTCCAGCCACACAGAGAAAATTTCGAGATCCCAGAAGTCCAAATCATCCAAGTCCAGCTCCAGGACTCGACCAGGTACAGCCACAGGGCTTCGACCAGGTGTCGTCAGCCCTCGACTGAGCAGAGGGCTTGGAGACCTTGAGTCAACAGGCCCCCCTGAGGGCATTGAATCCACCTGGCCAAGGCGCATCATGGTTAGGAAGAGGACTGTCCGGCAAGGTGGGGCTCTTCACAACCTTCCTATCCTGCCCCCTCTACCCTCTGTCCTCTCGGCTTTAGAGAAGAGGCGCCCACATGGCCACCTTCACCGTGTAGGCCATTACTCAGAAAACCCACTCACAAGTTTGATCAATTCAACAAGCATGGTGGGAAGGTGCTCACTGAAAGAGCCTTCTCATCCAGATCTGGGACTTGGGGCTGGATTAGTGGGCAGGGCGTCTCTGAAAGAGCAGAATTTGGAGCACTGGCGAGTCTGCAGAGAGCTGGATGAACCAAAGAGATCCAGGAGCAAGGAGAAACAAGGACAGAGTCAGGAGAAACTAGAGAGGGAGGAGAAGAAGAGTAAGGAGGAGTTAAGAGAAAGAGAAAGGAAGGAAGAAAGGGACAAAAAGGAGGAGAAAGTAGGAAGGGAGAAGGAAAAAGTTCCTGTGAGTGAGGGGATGGGGAAGGAAATCAAACAACCAAAGTTGGAAAGAAGGGTTGAAGGAAAAGAAAAAAGGGAAGGTATCAAAAAAGAAATAATAGTAGAAGTAACGTGTGAAAAGATAGAGGACACAGGAATAAAGATAAGGGGCGGGATACCAGACCAGCATGGACAAGAGCTGGAGGAGGTGGTGGCCAAAATTAAAAAAGACGATGGTGAGCTGGAGGGAGGAGAAGGAGAGGAAGGAGGCATGGAGAGTTGGGATGCTGTCCTTGAGATGGTCACCACATTGTGGGATGATGGCTGGGATAATAAAGGAGCAGGAGAGGGAGAGGGGGACACAGACTCTATCTCAGGGTCCCTGCAGCGTTGGCCTCTTCTCCGGCCTCCGGTCGGCTTTGGGGGCTCCCACCCCCCCTCCTCTGCTGCCTCAGAGCTCAGCCTGACAGAGATAGAGAGGAGAGCCAGGGAATTGGACTCTGACCTCGAGCACCTGGACCTGTCTCAGCCCCAGAGAGACACCCAGGATGCTTACCAAAGTCTTCTAGAGCCACAGAGGGATCGAGGTGACATGTACCAAACACACCCTGGACCACAGAGGGAGAAGGCTACAGTCTATACAGGTAGATACAAGAAAGTTTTATGTTTTTGTGACTTCCTGTTCCCAATTTCCCATTTACATTCAATGCAATAATGTAGATTGCATCTTGTTTATGTTTAGCAAGGAACTGCAGCTCACTTTATGATAGCAGTTTCACAAGTATAACACCATCTCAATGAAAGACAAGTGAGCTGTCATATCTCCATGAGAGGGGGACTTGAGAGCTCCATGAGAGCTGCAAGACACTCTCACTAAATCAAATAAAAATCCATCTGCACAAATATTGGAATAAAGGTATCTTCTCTGGGCTATTTGAGGGCAGTGAACAGGTCAAACTGCTCTGGACTTTTACCTCAGAAGTTGGTTTTACCCGGGACAGGAAAGTCTGCTTTATTCTTTCTCACCACAAAATGAAAAGTGTCCACAACTCACCTTGGTATTTTTCATCCAAATCTAATCAAGCAAAAGTGTTTGACATGAAGTCTTGGAAAGAAAGGGGAAAAAACCTCTTTGAGATGCACCTTCAGACTGAAGTAAACATGATTTAGGAGGAGAGAAACAACTTTAAACAGATGCTGAAGTATCCCCTTGAGCTTCTGAGGGGCTTCCTGTGCTTGCTATGGCCTAAATTGCCTCACTGCATGGCAGCTTTTTGAAGAAGTTGCAATGCAAGTTGCAGAGTTTTGGGGGGCATTTTCATTACATTTATGCTGTCAGTAATTATTTTGTGTGCTAGCTTCTTTTATAAACAACAGTAAGGGCCAGTATAATTACTATCTGACTGTTGGAACAGTCATATTTGTGATGGAGCCTCTGGTTGGTGGAAAGTTTTGAAAAAAAGCGATAAATGGTCAATACACTTAACACCAGGCTTCAGAAGTGGTTATGTAGTTGACCGACAATTTTCGATATGGAACATGGATCGATTATCCAAACCATAGAATGTATATGGAATGGACGCCATTTGCCTCCTTGCTGGGTGAAGCCTCTGCGAGAACAACACCCTCTGGTGATGGGCTGCAGTATAGGTCATAAATTCCACCTCCTTCAGCAATCCCTATGGAGCTGTGGACAAACTTTAGAAATTAATTACACACAATATACATTTTTCTCCCCCCTGGTTGTGATGTTGACATGTAGTTATTGTAAGACTGGTTTGTGCTCAAGTCCTCTTTTTTCTGTTGAGCTCCATTTTTAAAAGTTATTTGGGGGTTCATGTTCTCTATAATTGACACCTGATACAGCCTATGGGCATACGAAGATTGTGTAGCTCACCCGGGGGATACGCTGTTTGAGCAGAGCGTCATCACAATGACTCTCTCATCGAATGCATACAATACTACTGTGCAAGTGGTGAAATGCGTACAATGCTGCTGCACCAGTGGTGGTTCCTGGATATACCAAGAGAGCAATTTGGCTTCAAATTTGTAAAATTACTTAAGACAGAGCCAAGTTGTCCATAGTATTAACAGTCCATGATCAGAATAGCTGCTGCAGTTAAAGGCTACATAAGAAAGCTCATCAGTGAAAAATTCTCGAAATTTACAATGAGGTACACACATATTGCATAGTTACTTAAAAAAATGTGTAACTGACTTATCAAGGTTTTATGAATGAGTAACTTAAATAAGGTAATAACTAATTCATGATTCAGCATTTAGTAACAACCAATTCTGATATCACTTCATGCACTTTTAAGTATTTATTAGCTGCTCTAAAGAATCTGATTAGGATTTACCACCTGGCCATTAATTGATGGTTAATGGTGGTAACTTTTTTTAACATCTTACCAATGATTTAGTACTAGTTAGTAACTTATTCATCACCCAGTAACTATGCAAATTTTTTGTATCATATCAACCTATTATCGTCTGGTTTACTGATGGGAGCCAGTACCTACAAAAAATGTTGTTTTTTTTTTTGGTTTTTTTTTTTGCTTAAATTAGTTAACTTATAATTAACTTTTAGTTATATCTACATCTGTCACCTAGTAATTATGCAAAAGTTACACACCTTAATTACCTGTTAACTGATGGTAAAAAAAAAAAAAAGGTTATTGAGTTAGTGGCTCATTCATTATCTTATTATTATTATTATTATTATTATTATTATCTTATTTTGTTTAAAAAAAAAAAAAGAACTTAACTAGCAGTAAATTTGAACAATCCAAAATCTACTATTCCACCTGAGAACTCACAGTTAACTAGTTGATAACGAGTGGTTAGTTTCACATCAGTTACCTAGCAAACATGCAAAATGAACATACCTCATTCTTATAACCTTATGGTTATCTCTTGTCTGTTAATGAACAGAATAAAGCATGAAATGCTCATAAAAGGTACAGAGGCTGAGAAAATGACAGCCATGATATGATTCATATATCTGGTCCTGAAAAAGATACTTTAACTTTCAAGAGATCACATCTTCTGTATTTTAAGCTGCCTGTATGACAGTTAAGCTGACGGATACATTTAGGTCAGTACAGAAGGGACCAGGGAAAGAAGTGACATTAACCTTCACAGGGCCTCGAGGTGATGTAGAAAAACCTAAGATGCTTTATTAACAGTAACAGGAGCGCCAGAATAACTACTTCACTAAGCTAGTGTGTGGACCTGAAGCCAAGTTTAGATCCAGGCTTGGACAGGAAGGTTCTCGCAGGTGCAATGGTTGGCGCCTCTCTTACATCTACTGAATGAATGATCCCACATATTAATCCTATGGCAAAGCAAGACCGGGTGGTGGTTTTTGTATTGATGACATCTGCATTTCTTCTAACAATGAGTAATATTTGGTCTCCTGTCCAGGAATGGGAAGCAGATCGCAGGTCACTCTGGAGCTAAACCCTATGGCCTTGCTAGCTACAGACACAGACAGACATCCTGCTGATTGGCAGGGCAAGTCTGCTGGGACCGCAACCGTTGTGACATGGTAAATTTGATTCTGGAGTGCTGTAAACTCAATGTTAAAATGTGTCTTCATCTGCATGCATCTTGACCCCCAATCAGCGTTCAGCAACCCCCCCCCAGTGGGTCCCAACCCCACATTAGTAACTACTGTGATCAAGCAGTAACCTCCAGTCTAAGAAATGAAGTCAAGAAACTGCAGTTCCTCAAATGTCCACTTGAGGCCATCTGTAGAAGCACCATAACCACACAGACCACATACACACTAAACCAAAAAAGGAGGTTTAAGTTGGGTCAAAGTTAGCAATATGGTGACCGGCAGACTTCAGAGATCTGCTAGATAAACAGTTGGGTGAGGCTATGTCCATTTATTTCACAATCAATAGATATAATATAGTATACAGTATGCAAGGGTACAATATGATACAATGAGACATGATTGAAAAATGATATCAAGTCATACAATAAGATAAAGATGACAACGCAAATTGACACGATATGATGCAACATTATATGAAATGACACAAGACTAAATGATTTCAACTAATACGAAATTGCATATCACAGCAAGTTATAATCTAACATTACATAGGATTGGATAGTATACAACACAGTAAGATATGAAATGATGATACAATGACAGAATAAAGTGTAATCCTGCATGGTACAATCACACTTGTGGAGACTTGAATTAATATATGGTAGTGCTGATACAATCAGATATGACAGGTCAACTTCATTAATAGTGAAATACAGTATGTCTTGCCTACTATACTGTCTTCTTTTTGTGTAATTGAGTTCATAGCTTTAAGATTTGCTGTTGGAAGAGTTCATGTATTAAACATGAATCCTGGAGCTGTTATTCCTATATATTTTTTAAAATGTCATAGCTAATACAAACAAAATGTACTTAATTAATTCTTAAATGGTTTTTATTGCTTATTATCTCAAAAGGAAAACCTTCAAAGTATCTCACAGTGAGGTTTTGGCACAACAGTTATTCCACTTCCTTTTTGACCATCCTCTCTTTCTTTCTAGCGCCACTAAAGAGGACAGCTCTCCAGACTCCAACTTGACGCTGGAGTCCGACTCAAGTGGCATCTTCATGTCTTTATCCAATCAAAGCCAGGAGGAGGGTGGCTCTGACAGTGACCAACCAATCAGTGGCTCTGACTTAGGCAGCAGCAACACATCACTGGAAAAAGATGGTGATGATGGAGGGCCCAAGGAGTGGGGGAGGGAGGAGAGTTCAGAGCTACAGTGGTGTTACCCATCACTCCTCAATACCTCCATGCAGGAAGATACGGACATACAAGACGATACTGAAAGAGAGGAACCAAGGCGTGAAAAGATGGAGGAAGGAGGAGAGAAAAGCAAAGAAGAGAGTGGAAGAAGAGTTGGTAAGATTGCCACTGTTTCAATCATTAGGGCCCCACTCAACCATGCACACAGTGAGGTCTCCACAAATTTCAGTGCCCCCCAAAGTGAGGAAGTCCCATCCAGAAAAAAAGTAACCCTTATAAGAGGTGACACCCCTCTCCCTCTGTCTCCCTCAAAACAACAAATTAAACACTTGCTAGATCCTAATCAGAAGGCCATCAGAAGCTCAGGACTGGACTGTGGTGACATAGATCCTTTTGTCCAATCGGACAGCTTTGTTTACCTTGCTGTGACTGCGAGACCTGGTGAAGCCACCAAAGTGACAGAAGTTCCCACCCATGTAACACAACAAGACAATGTACAGCAACATTCAGATAGCATGAAAACCAATTTGAACCAGTCAAATACAGAAGGGGATGCCAAGCCTACTCACCTTACCCCACAAAAACCAGAGGAAGGAGATTTTTTGTGCACTGACAGCTTTGTCTACCTTGCTGCTCCAGCATGCCTCCTACTGGGTCCTGCAGGAAGCACACAGTACAGCGGCAGGTATGTCCCTTTTTGTTTGTTTATTGTGGCTTTGGTGCATTTTATTGTTTGTCAGTTTGGGGTCAGAAAATGATTTTAAAAAAGCATTTGGCAACAATTCTGTTCAATGAATCATCAATCCATCAATCCTGCTCCAATTATCTCAGCCAGATCATACCATCAAAGTACGACCGAAGTAAAAATGAATGTGTTCATTGAACGCGCTCATATTTTCATGAGCAGTGAACTTCACGCTCACTTTATATTTCATGTAGTTCACTCTGTGGGCAGTGAACTGGGTGACAGGAGGTGCCGAGAGATGCCGAGCACTGTGTTTTACGGCAGCAGAAGTCAGTTCTATGGCAATTCCATGCAGTTTGGTTAATACTGCTGACACTTGGGTTAGCATTAGCGGCAGCAGTGCATGTAATACTGGTGGTGGCAAAACACTGGTTTTTTAACTAAATATCTGTCTGTGGTGCTCTTATAGCACGCAGTGATTTATTTATTTTGGGAACTGGCGTGAGGGATAGGGATTAAAGCATAGGTGGCGCTAGAGAAAAAGAGAACTTCCAGCCAAAAAAACTAATGTTTTTGGATCGTGAACTAAGTTAAATTAAAAAAAAATGAACCATGAACATGAACTAGTTCATTTTAATTGGTGTGAACTTAACTTTGAGCTAGCGCATTTTTTTGTGTGAGCTGGCACAACACTGCTCACCATGACTTTGACATCTCAAGGAGATGGCTGCTGTGATCATATCATCTAATGGGGTACCCCATGCAACACACTGACCATGCAGCAGTTTGCTACAACCATCCGCACAGGTCATTAGATTCAAATAATGTCAACTGGCTGGTAAATTGGATTACTCCATCAGCCTAGTCTTTCTCTCTAGTTGAACAGTACAGTGAAGAGTAAGATCAGAGTTACAGCTGATGCAATTCAGCTGGGGCCTGGGTGTGTAGGATGCTAACTCCCACCTGAAGAAGGCTTAACAAGGAGGGTGCATGGAAAGCAAATGGCCAACATTCACAGCCCTCATTGTGGAGGCTGATCGGTGCTGTGGCCTGTTGATGGATAAGGCAGGCTGCTGATGCGGCATATAGGTTTGAGGGTGTAAGAGGACAGGGGGTGTGAGAGGCTTTTGGGAAACATAGGGACCCCCAGTTAGAACAAGCCTTAGTTCTAGCTGTTTTTTGGGAAGGGGAGTGCTGTTGGACGTTTTCTGAGGAAAAATCAGGCATTCATTTGATCTGAATGCCTGATTGACCACAACTGTTAGGGAATTTCTGGTAGATCCCATAACACACCAGGGCTTGAATTTTATCTCCAGAGAAAGCTTTGAGACATGATTAGGCCAACAGATACTTGGCCACCATGACTTAGGCTACAATACCAGGCAGTACACTCATGCGGGCCCCAAAGGAGTACCCACATGGGCTTTGCCAATTGCAACCCAAGTTTTAAGAGACGTCTGATTTGGGTCAACTTTGGGGCTGATGATGTCATATTTGTGTGCTAAATTAGGTTACTGTAAAGAGAGTTAGTGTCAGCAGCCTTTGGTCCTCTTGTTACCCATACTTTTTTAGATCAAAATACTGCCCAACTGCTCCAAGCTACAAGATGACATCTGTCATCTGTGCTTGTTTATATCCTGGTAGTAGAGCAATGAAGCATTATGATATTTGACATAAAAGACACAAAATAGGACCAGCATTTCAGGCCAATGAGAATCAAAATTATTAACGAATAGTTGAACTGTCTTGTAATTCTGGTGCCAACTAGCAGTGGTGACAACATTTATTTGTGATGTCAGCTTAATGCCAGCGAACCTTAATGAATCCACACGAGACCAGGCCTTAAGACATCTGACTACAGTGACTCAGTGAGTGGGGATCACGGCCAAGAGGCATTTTGTCACTGTTACACTCACCAGGTTTCAAGTCAGTACACTCATGTGGGACCCAAAGTAGTTTGCAACTTGGACTCAGCCAATTTCACCCATGATTCCCTCACAGGTCTCATACCGGGTACCCAAATGGGTATATGAAGGGCCATAAAGGGATTCCATTATGGGTCAGTATTGACAGTGTAAAAACCACTCAGAGTCAGGACCTTGCTGAAAGTCATCTGGCTACTGTGTCTATGACCAGGATTTCAGCCAGTATGGTTGCGTAAGGCCAAAAAATGGTACCCAGTAGTATCCAGCAATACACTGTCTAGAATGAGACACTACCCCCAAAGCAAGAAAGGGAAAAAGTAGTTGACAATGGCAAAGGTCTTTGAAGTCCTCAACTTACCAGAAGAGAACTTAGTTTTCTGAACTATTAGCTTCACTGATCAACACTTGCTTCATTGATTTCTGGTGGTACTGCAACATTTGGTCCATTTCTGAAAGCTAGCATAACACAGCAGAATACAGACAAAATAGGCGCAGAGTAGGAACAGGAGACTTCTTCTGTGTTCATATGCATGTCTAATGTTGAGTAAAAATAAAACTGCTAGAGCTCAAACCAAGTCCCCAGTCATAGCACAAGAGAAGCCTATTAAGGCCTCTCTTGATGGACTGGCCAAGTGTAGCAGATTGAGGGATAGCTGAGTGGTTCCTCTCTTTTTCAGTGCTGATCCCAAAGGACAAAAACTCCAGTTCTGAGACTTTCTGTTCATCCCCATCATCATAAATATTTATGTCCTAATGTATTGTCATCCTTTGAATGACTGTCCATGTGTTGTTTCCTCTTGCTTGAGTCATAATTGAGACATCTGTGTCATAACTAAGGCAGTGTAAATGGCTGTAGATGTCAGGTTGACTTCAGTTATGGTTTATTATTTAACTCAGGCTCTGTATGTTGTGTTTTTTCCAGAGAATCAGACTCAGAAAGTTCAGGATCTGGCGCTGCTGATGTGTCAGTACTTGGTTGTGGCTCAGTGGCAGGGGACAGCGACTGGGACTCAGACTTGTCCGACTCTGATCCAAGTCGCTCCTCAAGATTTTCTGCTGCCGCTAACAAATCTGCTGGTGTAGCTCGACCGAAGCGGCTGCCGACTGAACCAGACTGGGACATGGTTGGAGACCCCCCAGAACCTGATGTGCTGAATGAGCCTTTCACAGAGGAGGACAGAAACAACAATGGCGAAGCGAAGATGGTTACCACCAGCATAGCGGGGGCTCAGGCCATGCCCAGGCCAACTCACGCTGTCACCACGCAAATGAGGCAATCGACAATGGAGCAGTCGTCAACGAAGAAGGTGACATGGCAGTTCAAACCGGCCCAGAGGTCAGTCTGCACCGGGAGCAGAAAGGAGAAAGACAAGGAAATGACATCTTCAAGGTTCACAGAGTATGGAGGCGATTCTTATGGACCCTCCCCTTCATCGTCATCTTCTTCATCCTCGTCACCGTCCTCATCTTCTTCTGGTTGATTTCAGAAGGACAGGGTTTTTGTTTTCAACTTCCTGGAAAGGAGCTCTCACGGCCTGAAACTGAGATGGTTGCAGGAAGGTAGAAAAGATCTTCAGTTTTTTTAAAAGAGACCAACAGCTGGATACACTACAACTTTTTTTTTTTTTTCCTGCAAATTTTTGATTCTTTCATCAAGCTGCTGCCATTGCCTTCTTATGACCTTACAAAGGCTGCATAAAGACTAGTTAACCACTGTATTTCCGTCGCTTAGACTAATCATATTGTACTCACAGATTCAGACAGAATAAGACTCAGGCTAAACAGACAACTTCAGGTTGAGATTACGTGGAATTATGGCCAATGATTGAACTGTTCAGTAAATCACGCTGTGTCGGGTTCTTATCAGTGGTGAGATTTTGAAAAACAGGGTTGATTAAGTGGTTACGCACTTGATTTATTCTCTTTATAACGATAAATGTGGCAATTTATGTGCGCTTTTTTATTCTTTTGAATGTACTTCACAATATACACAGTATACAAGATAAACCACAGTGAAACAGAATTTAAATAACTGGTAATCCCAAATAATCTGCTTCATCTGTGAACAGCACTACAACAGCAGAATTCAGTCATACATGAAACAGGACAAATGGGAGAAAATCTCATGTGTTGCTGTTTCCAGTCTAACAATATGTCATTCAGGCCTTTGGACAAATATCCCCCTTTATTTAAAGCCTTTCTTTAACGTCTAATAACTCTAACACTTACTACTTTATACATACTTAAAAAACAGACTTTTACAAACTGACTGAGGTCAGACTTGACAGTGTACAATGTATTTTATAATCACATACAAGTTTAAAGTGTATTTAACAGTGTGTCAATAATATATTTTGATTTTTGAGATAATTATCAAGGAAATTATATCTGTAATGAATGTGCAAACATGAACAAATGACAGAGGGATTTTAGTAATAACTTTTAATTTGAATGTTCTATTTATCAAATAGATTTGTGAATGTAATAATTGAGCAATATGCTTCAAAACTCATGCTATATTCTCTGTTTCATATGTGGAAAGTGTTGCCTGAGTGGTGTATAAAAAAACGGCTGGGTTTGATTTTATTTATACAGCCAGATACTTACTGTAAATGAGGTCTCACACCTGTTTAGAGGTTTAATGTGTGCCATTTTTACATCAAGTCATTATCAGGTGTATTTGTATTTGGAGACCAGTGTTGCGATGATTGATAGCTTTTGTCTCACTTTGATGTTATTTTTAGTGCAAATGTTTTCCTCCAAAGATTTATATCTCCCATAATCCCCTCTGTGTCCTTCCTCCCTCCTCTTCTGTGGCGTCTTTGCTTTAGTGAGGAGGATGAGCATGAGGACAGGTTTAGCTGTGTTTGTGCTGAAAGTAAAGCAAACCAGAAGATTTCCCTTTAAATCCACAGCGCCGGCACACAATTTCATATGCAGTGTGGAGGCTGTTGGCGCTGCCAATCATCCCAGCAGTGGTCTTAGAGTTGATTAATTACAGCAACACTTGAGTTAATAGGGTTATAATTGACTGATGTAAAAAATGATGCACGTAGCACCTTTAAAGGCGAGCACAGTGTTATCAGATTTCCTGTCTTTAATAAATGTGACAGCGTGCAGGGTGGCAGGTTAACAAGTTATTGTCAGCAACACAATAATGATTCTTGAGGTTATGGAGGTTGTGTGGGAAGTTATGGCCTAACAGGCAAATTGCTTCCTAAGCAGGTTGCTATTTTAAATTTGCACTTGAATTTAAAAGGGGGCATGTCACTACTTAACAATTTTGAGTCAACTGAATGTCCCAGTGTCCATGTGTTGCCCCTGGGATACAAGGCTGACTGTTTTTGAATGAATGGCAGTGATGCTGCTTTTTAATGTGAGGATACTGTCACCTTGTGCAGCCTTTGCTGTGACTATTGTCAGTGAAATGCTCTGCCAGTCCTTGTTCTATACAACAGTGCTCAATGTAAAGCCAACAGGATTTAGTGGTGCTGTGAAACGCACCTGTCGGGTTCAAGGATGGATTAATTTCTGGTTCTATTGAGCACTGATTTTAAAGCACATCCACTGAGGAGTTAAGTGCTTCATTAGCATATCTGTATTTTAAAAGCTGCAGGATTGCCAGAAAGTCTCAGGAGGTGAATATGAATCAGGTCTGAAGGAATGACAAGCAAAGGTGGCTTCTTCTGGCTTTCTTCAACATTGCACACTTCTTTTATGGCACATTTCTTTGTGTTTGAAATCTCTGCAGAATGTTGGCAGTGATGCATGCTAAGTGGGCTATGAAAACATTTTGGCATGGACGGATCAGTGGTTTACAGGGCCCTTGGGCCTCTTTGAAGCCCCCTTTGAGAGACACTAAAATTCTGAATGGATATGACCATGAAATTCTGTGTATATGCCACGCTTTCTTAATTGCGTTAGCCTCATTGGGTCCTAATCATGCATTTAACAAAATCATTGGTTTACTATCAAGTAAGTCAACCTTGTGGAGGGCTGGTTTGATTGAGAAAACTCCTCGAGTGACTGGAAAAGTTGTGCAGGGTGATTTTAGGCAAATTGGACTTGGATAATGCCTCACAATTATCAACTGCTGCAGAACTACACTATGATTTGTGAAAAAACTCAAGATATTTTTTGACCTACCTGTTGACATGACATTTAATACCAAGCTCTCTATTCAATGTTGTTTTTAGCAGCTCCAAATCCCAGAAAACAAGATGTTGCCTCTTGATTATCTGTTGCTGCCCCCCGAATTCAGAAATTCTGTATATCTGAGGAGAGGTCCAAGTGTAAACAAGCCTTTTTTTTCTGTCAAATCTCTGCCTTTCATTGTTTTTTTATTTTTTTATTTTTTTTTTACCTGTGTCATTGTGCAAACAGCAGTGGAGAGGCAACGACATGGCAGGCTGTTGGAAAACTTTACAAACAGTTTGATTTCATAGTGATGAAGTTCTCTGGCCAAAGTTTCAGAGCCGTCTTAACACAAAACAACACCTTCAAATGACTGGGAATCATTTCTCTTTTCTCTTGGCACTTCCTCACATCATCACCTCCTTGTAAGATAACAAACAACCTGGCCCTCTGACAAAGCATGAAGTCAGACTTTCTTTTCCAATTTTGTCTCATGGTTTAGGTACTTAAATTTCTTTTTGATCTATTTTATAAAAAAAAAAAAAATGATCACAGCAAATCTGTGTCTTTTACATTTTTGAATATGCATCTCTTTCCTTTCTTGACCCAGATTACTGGAGGTCTCTATCTTCCATTCATAATTTAATTTGCTGAGTTATTAAAAGCTTTTGTTTCTTGGTTGTAAAGGGAACTCTTGGTGTGAGCGATGTAGTTTTGAGAGTATAATATAGGGGCACCAAACTGAAACAATACACCTTCCCCTCAGTCAGGATTATGACTTTCCAGTGATCATGGGATTATGTTTGATGATTAAGATTCAAACTATTCATTTATATTCAAAAGGATGGATCAGCTTCTTATTTATAAATGGGTTGCATGAGATATTCGTTACTGAGTATATCACTCACAGGAGCCATCTGGAAAACTACTGCAGACAGAATCAGCTCCTCTGTGTGATTTTTCAGGTTTTAAAAAAAAACCTAAACACTAATGTTGGAGTAACTGTACACTGTTTTTGGAAATTTTGACCAGTATTCTGATAAATTGTTAATTTCAGATAAAATTGCATCACAGTTTGGCCATTTTAATCCACAAATCCTTAATTTATCAGGCACACACAGACGTCTGTTAGTAGTGATGGCCTCGATTTCAGCTTGACAAAAAAATTTCCCCCATGGGGGATCAATAAAGGAATATTCTATTCTATTCTATTCTAGTCTTATTTTGCAGGAGCATGATGCAGACTGCAGCTGCATGTAAACCTCAGGTTTCTTCTGATTCAGAAAGGGCCTTAAGTTACCAAGTCCCACTCCTGACAGCAGGAGCTCTAAGGGCTCACAGTTTACCCGCCTGCACCTCCAGGTTACTTGACTCTTACTGTCTCTCTCTTTAAATCTGTTAAGGCTAGTTTTCACCTTATAAAAATGTTTTACTGCAGGCCTGAATGTCCAACCAGTGGCGCCCTGACAGCAAAGTAAATCACTGAAAAATTTCTTAACAGAGTTTGCAATGACATCAACCTTTTCTTAAAAGGGTCTAGATCCTGTGGTGGAGCTGACCCCGTTTAGAGGTAGAGATTGATAGCAAGTGTCTGTCAGTCCCTAAGCTGGTGTCGAATAAAGAAGCTAATCAAATCAGTACAGTACCTCATGAAACCCCACTTCACAAACCTGAACTATGCCTGTAATATTCAAATTTTACTCAAATTGCTATAAAACTTTTAACAAACAAGCTTTGTGTGTTTCCAAGGTCTGCTTTGAGTGTAAAATTATGATCTGTTTCTCTCTTTTCAGAAACTTGCATGCTATTATTTGGAGGTGGTGAAGCTCTCAGTGTGATATTCTGCACAGTTTGGACACTTTCCACCCACATTTCACATATGAGCAATATAAAGAAATGAAGCGGGTGTATGTGTTATGAGAGACCCAATTTGTACCAAGGCTAACTTGTATTTCTTCCTTTTTATAACCGTGATTGCTTTGGTAAATAGATGAAGATTTACAGCCTGTTTTCTCCTGCAGCTCCACAGTTGAGAGTTTGTTCTGTGCAGCTGAATTTGATCACGTTTGGAAAGCTGTACTTTTTATTTGAAGCTGGCAGTGAACAGAAAAGGCCAGTGCATTTCTAAAAAACACCTGGAGAAAATGTCAGGGGGTCCACATTGCTTTTTCTCGTCACATGGACTCTGGCAGCGCTGAAAAGCTGTTTACGTGACACTGTTGATTAAATGTAACCTGTGTGGATTTTTTCTCTGATGTATTATACAATTGGCACTATTATGTGTAGCATTTGAAACCTGCTTTCTATTGGATAATGACATTTTGGAACCCTACTGCTTTTCATGCCT